TCAGACAGCTTGGGTGCACTGATATACAATAAGGAGCGCTGTATGGCTCGTTGGGCAGAACACTTTTAAGACCAGTTCAACTGGCCCTCTGCTCCCGGACCTCTTCCTACTCAGGTGATGTAGGACAAGCTATGGCTGTGTAGTTTACAGCGTCCGTCGTAGAATGAGGTCCGAAACGCGATCACCGCCCACAATCGTTTTCCTGCAGCTGGCCCGGATGCCCTCCCACCTGCACTATTTAAGGATGGAGGTGAGGTATTCTGCAATGCAATGACCTCCCTATTCGAACGTATCTGGAAGGAAGAGAGTGTCCCGGTTAGTTGGAGGGAATCAATTATAGTGGCAATACACAAGAAGGGCAGTCGCACAGACTGTGCGAACCACAGGGTTATTATCCTAACGTCAGTTGTGACAACATTACTGGCATCGATTCTCGTTCGTCGCTTCATTGCGGAACGGGAATCTCGGATTAGGGAAGTGCAGGCAGGTTTCCACCCAGGATGTGGCTGTCTAGACCATATATTCACTTTGCGGCAGGTGCTAGAGCAGCGCCACTCATACCACGGACTGACAGTAGCTGTGTTCCTCGATTTCAAGAGTGCTTTCGATTCATTCGTACGATCGATCGATTCTGTTCGGGATACTTGAGTTGAAGGCTGTTCCCACCAAACGTGTGAACATGCTATGTGCTCTATACTCGAGCACTACAGGCCGTGTCAGGGGCTACGGTGGCCTGTCGGATAGATTTCCGACCAGGGTTGTCCTATTTCTCCATTTCTGTTTCATTTCGTCGTGGATTAGTTCATGGAGTATTTCCTTGCGGAATCTCACGATGTAGGCGTTGATGTGCTGCATGGTGAAAGATTAGTTGATCTTAATTATGCGGAAGACATCGTCTTGCTTATCGACAATGTTGCGGCAGCACAATCAACCCAGAATAGCCTGTATTTGTGGTTGCCTTATTTGGTATGTGCTTCACACCTTCAAACTTTAAAGTGTTGCTGCAGGAACAGTAGCTACTGTATGACCCCTAGACTCTTGCTAACGAGGAGCTCGAGGTAGTTGACCAATTCACTTATCTTGGCAGTTGCATCAGCAACGATAGGCGCGTAGAGACTGACGACAGCTCATGCATATCAAAGGCCAGAGCTGCCTTCTTGTACCCGCGGCATCTTTGGCGACAGAAGGGGATTTCCCTCCGTCTTAAAGACCGTGTATACAAGGCCACAGTGAGGGTCGTTCTGCACTATGTGATTGAGACTTGGCCTCTTCGGTCTGAAGATCGGAGGCGCCTTCAAGTTTTTGATCATGCTTGTCTGCGAAACGTTGCTGATGTCGGATGGCACCAGCTTGTCAGCAACGACGATGTGCATAAGCGAGTACTAGATATTGATAATCATGTTATCTCCCCAGAACAAAAATAGCATTGAATTAGTTGCGTCGGCTCGAGCAAGTGCTACGTATGCCTGGTCACCGCTTACCTAGGAGGGCGTTGTTTAGTCTACCAGGAGTAGAGTGGCGCGAGGTTCGAGGTCGACAGAAGTTGACTTGGCAGCGTGAGTGCCGTTGGTCCGTCTCGCCTTCCGGGCTGGAATTCATGTGACGCCTTGTGCTTTGCTTGAGACTTTATAGGACATGGTTCGTAACCGACACCAGTGGCTCGCCTGCTGCCGTCTCCTAAACAGATTGCCAGTTTAAACTGTTCTGGGTGCTGAGTAATCTGCGGGATAATGGCTGATTAGGAGGCGGGGAACTGAAAGCCGCAAAATAGCTGTCTCCCGACGCCGCCTTATGTTTGCACGACAGCCTGCTGTTTGTGACGGTATGGTGTTAACACAAAGTGTAGGGAATGTGGCTGCAGATGGTTCTACTCCAGTGGCACTTCGGTTGTTGTCAATTAAGGTGGGAATGATAGAAGGAAAGTTAGTAATTGTGGTCGGGATGGGAGTAAGAGAAACAAGTGGGAAAGAAAGCAGGGAGGCGCCAGCAGTAGTATGTTTTCGCATATCCGCCACATTGTATGCACCAGGTAAGGCGACCCTTGATAATCTGCGCGACGGCCGATGCAGGATGAAGTTTATGTTTGAAGAAAAGTTATTGGTATATGTGGGAGAGATACTGCCAGGGCGCCCAGACCTAGACAGGAGGATGATATTCGTACTCAATCACGGGCTTTTGCCCAAAAGCCTGTCCGCAAGCCAGCGGGGAGGTGGCAATTATTTAATTTTACAAGAATGGACGCCATCCCATTTCAAACTCCCAAGCTGGAGGACCAGGAAACTGAATTTGTGTGACCTCTTACCATTGACCAACCTGGTAGGAGTAGCTATCAAGGGGCCCCAAGGCACCACCCAGTATGGCTTACTGGGTCAAGGAAGTACGCAAACCGTCGCACCACGTTAACATCCAGTCTCGGTGCGAAAGTTCAGTCGAGACAATTAGTTATGGCTAGCCCAAGGTGGATCTGAGACTCGTGACGTACCGGATGACAACAGAGGCACTGCACACTGTGTTAGTGTATCGGTCCCTACTGAATGTGACATATATGAAAGCCTCGTTGTTTGATTATTTGAAGTACGTGCCGTGACTTTTTGTTCTGATTTTGGGCGGCGGTTGTTCTTGAAACAAACCAAGGTAAACTGCTTTATGCTTAGAATGCGACACACTTACCAATTTCTTACTGAATGTTTACTTATGGCATTAAGGTTTTCAGGTAAGTCGCAGTTCTTTCCCTCTTATTATTCTTTATTTCATAGGTCCTCTTAGTTATATGGCAGCGAAGCATCAGATCAAATGGCTGACGTTCTGCTGTTGTTAGTGATGATAACTGATGCCTCGATTGAGGATGAATCGACTTTACTTTGTATACTATGAAGTGAGTAACAACTTTTATCTTCTTTATATCCTAATTTCTCTGTCTGAAGAGAGAGACAGCAGCATGCTCTAAACATTGATCCGCCGCGTGGCCAGCAAATTTCATATCGATCCAGGTAATAGGTCTCAAATTATGAGTCCATTCCCCGGCTCAAATGTTCACCGACTGGCCATCTGAGAATCAAAGCAAAGCCAAAGCAGCGATCAAAATTTCACTAATCACGACCTTTACAAATATAATCTATACATAAACGTGAATTACCGTTTACATTCGGTAGCTTATTTACTGACAGTATCCGCTTATCGGCACTTAATTCGGCCGCATGTGCTCAGCGAACCGCACGCGTCGTTCGTCCTCTGAGACCTGACCAACCCAAGTCTGCTTTGTCCGGGGCTACGTTGACCTTGGTTCACGAAGAGTCGTGTCCATTCTGCGTTGTTCATCTGGTCAGTGTAAGTATCGATTCTATTTCAATCCACTCAGCTAGCAGCGAATCAATTCGCTAGTTAGCCAAGGGGCATTACATCACCTGTTTTCAGCCATTCGTTCAATGTTGTTGCGGTTAATTCCATTAACCGTTCAATTGTTCATTTGTTTGCCGAGTTCGGCAGTTTGGTCGCAAACCTTTCGCTGCCATTCCAAGTGGCATTGACTGTGCAAGATTGCAAACTACCACTGAATTGACAATGTCACCTGGCATGGCAGCGAACATCTGCAACGAAACTGCAATGGACAAGTGATTCGTCAACCCGAGCCACAAGTATTCCGAAACATGTTGATAAGCTGTTGGCTGTAACCATGCTTATTTTCGATCATGTTACGCCACCTGCATTTCATTGTATCACTGTTGCGCGCACATAGGTGATTAGAGCACTTAGGCCATGCTTCATTGCCTATCCGTTCAGAGGTGCCTTGTCGGGTTCGTAAACCCGAACTACCAGCTCCTATCACAGTAACAAGTAGGTTAAATGGAAAACTCAACACCACTGGTTTTATTTTTGATCTAATTCATGTGAGGTCAGAACTTGCTAAATAATGTGCCCCATATACCTGAGACTTGTAGTTTGCCCTTTCTCCAAGGCTGATGTGATTGGTTCACCGGGTTGAGCAAGTTGTTTAATGACGTTTCACCGCCAGTCGAGATGACTTAATCAGTACCTAATGGCAACTCACTTGTTAATAGACACTTACCTGCCAGCAAGTTCACAGACCAGTTCCTTTGCACATAGTCACTCTAACCTCACTCTGATTTCTTGTTAAGGAGCCCACTATAAAGCTACCATAAGAGCGAACGCCCACCCAGCACTCCCATGAAATGGATGCTTGGATACTTTGTTGCTCCTTCAGGATTATGCACCTGGATTCAGCCTCGCTATACATCAACAGTTTTTAGAAATCCGTATCCAGTGGTAGCACATGTTACAGCATTTATAACTGAGAAGACATAGGTGAGAAAACTGATTAAATGATTCCAGAAACTGATCTACAAATTTGTAGTCATTGTTAGCACGATCACCTACTATGACGTACACACCAAGAGTAACGCAATTCTCAGGCATTGTAATACTTCTGTAGTGATTCAAATCATTCTATCAGTACTCAAGACCAATTGCTCCTCATTTTATAGTCGGCGCCATTAGACATTGAAGGCCACCTTCCTTCCAAAAAACCAGAGAACAATGCCTAGTTTAACTCAGCCCGTTGCTGCAACAGTGAACCTATCAGTCAGGTAACTGCTGACTTTCCGGGTGTGTCAGTAATCTTAAGCAGCCGCCTGCAGCCTAATACCACGCTGTCTGATACGCCGAGACGCAAAAGACCCCAAACTTTATTTAACCGAATTATACCATGCAGCTAGATGTTATTTCCCTTGTCAGTGGATCCTGTTTTCGACAAAAAATAACGACAGATAACCAATTGCATTTGCTTTAGCCCAGTCAGATGCAAATGGTAGACGTGTGAGCTTATCCTCTTGAGACTAGCGTCTCCATGTTATACTAACTTGTTTTCTATTTTCTATTTGCAGCTTACCGGAATTGTGGTAATTGTAACCTATCCAATTAAAAGCGCCAATACAAGTTAATGGTATAGAACCAGGGAACAAATTTTACTCAAATGAACTCACAATCTGTTGCTTTGTTGCTGTGTACGGCAGACCACGAATTCTTACCACCACTTGTTCTCCGTTAGTAAGTTGGTTTAAGAAATCTGCCACAGGTGCCTGGTCACCTAAAAGACATCCGCAATGCAAAACTGAATGCATAATCAACCAAGGAAAATAAGTGCGTTTGCTAATTTTATTATTAAGAAGAAAGATGGTACAATAACGAGAAGTGACCGTATTCCATGCCAAAATGATGGACGCTGGCTTGAGCCATTCGCTTACACGATAGCACAAAAATCGCGCCCTTACAATTGCAAGGGACTGGTGCATGCTATTGAAGATAAGACAAAAAACTGTATATCTAAACCCGAAAAAGGTACCAGCTCACATCCTGCGCATTGGAGGAATTCACGTGCGGAAGCTGAGTAGACCTGCAGCATAACCGGTTTGTTCACTGGTTGGGTTTGACCATCCCTTCCTCCTCGGTCCGACAGTGGGGAAGCTTCTTGTCCGGTTGCTAGAAGCAGGCCTCCACACAGCTGATGTTGGTGACGTGCTAATGCGAGTTGCGCGTTGCACTGGGATTCAAATGCAATAATTGCCGTATTGCTACGGCGTCCTTCCGTCAGTCGAATCGCCACGCCTCCAGGAATGATGTTTAACCCTGAGAAGAAACTTGCCAATATGGCAGGAGTGGCACTCCAGGGGACTTGGCGGACTTCAACTACGCAGCTATCTTCCATGTGAATCGAACGAGGGCTAATTAGAAGGGACAAAGATGCACATGTTAAGATCCAAGTATTGAATGGCCCGAAAGGGACTTTAGCGTTGTGAAAGAATGAGTTGATTAAAAACCCATCACCAGTTCGGGAAAACCTATAAACGCACTCAGTACAAAGTCGCAAACAATGCGTGCAGTCACTCTAGTAAACACAGCTTTCACACTGGTTCAATGGTTTGTACAAATATATGTCGAACACTAATTCAGAGGAATATAAATTGTTTGGTGCTTTCGATACTTGAGGTACTCAAAGAGGCGGAGTCTACTTAGACAAATATTGGCGCACCCGACAGACGCCAACTATGTTTTCACTCCATACAGTTCTTCAGATGACAATGCTGCCTGGGTAGCGATACAGTCACGCGTTATACTCAGTGCCTCATGTTTTTGCTTGCACGAAGGTCTATAAGAACCAACACGGGATACATTGTCCCTTTCCCAAAACCTAAAGGCTTGGACCAAAAGGTTCTCGAGATTTAAGCGAACTGAATATGATGTGTGATTTTATTGCAAAAGTACTACAGCTCAGAAATATTAGTGTGAATCTCAAGTTGCTATCCTTATTTGTCTGTAGCTGATGGTCTATTGCACTGGGGTGTTACATTTCTAAAAGCACAGGCAAACTTGTGACAACGTACCTAAAGAAATAAATATTTACGCCATAGGAAATTCAATCTGATATATTTGACACACACGGTGAGGACTCCACTTCATATTTTACCGTTAAGACGTTAACTGCAAATAATCAGACGGGTAGGGAAAGCATTGAAGATGATCCACACATTCTGGTCGCCTAAAATCTCTGGTGAATGATGGTCATGTGGAAGCCATTCGCAGAATGATATTCAATGACTGGCTATCTATTTATTAGATAACTGATTGTTGGCATCAGTTATGGCCCGGTGTAGACTGTTTAAACAATAACTTTGAGATGAGGAAGTTAGCTGCAAGAGGGGTGCTAAGGATGTTGACACCTGACAAAAGGTTGAACCCATGAAAAGATTCAACGCGACTGTTGACCCGGTTCAGGACAATTGCAGCGAATGTTTTTAAACTATTCGTTGCCCAGGACAAAACAAGTTCATTACATTGAATCAGCAGCAAAAAGTAGAAGGAAACAGTGGAATCATAATGGTTTCCCTCCTCAAATAAGTTCCGTTATTTGGCGTCCGCAGGAAAAGTGATACCTTTATCTTCTAAGATTAGGAATGTGTATTCACGAGACATTTCTTGCTAAGAAGTCTAACTATCAAGAACGAATAATGCGCCATAGAAGTACGCCTACCGATACAAGCAATCACAGAACAGTAGTAAGGGAATCTCGAGGCAGTAATTAATTTGCTGGATAACACAGTGTACACCATTCCCATGCAGCTTTGTCACAATCCGCTAATAGTGGATTTGAATTGCTTGTACACCCCGCTTATGCATTAAATCTGGTTACATAATCTGTTTACTAAACTTAAATCTCACCACTGGTCTCACAAAGTGGCCTATAACGACGAGTTTATTAGTGCTGGGGAGCTATTTTTATAGGTACAATCTTCGAACTTCTTCCACACAGTGATAGCGATACTGAGACGAGTACATTTAACTCACGGATTATTAGGTGAAAAGTGACAAAGAGTGACTCGGATATCTGACTTCTCTCTGAGTCGGACCGAGTAACTCTTGTTCTATCCTCTTAGACATGATAGTGTTACCCCTACACTTACTTTCGATGCACATATACTTTCATACCAGTACTTCCGCTTATCTATAAGCCGTCACCGAGCACATGTCCACTGATGCAGTTACGAATTCTGAATCACTGTTTTAACAGGTACTAGTTGTTTAGCCAACGAAAGTCCCGTCGTAATTTACATATAGATGTAAATTTCTTCAAAGATAAAATCAATGCCATACGATCACTTATCCTTTTTGAAATGTAGCTAATGCGGGACAACACTGAGTCAGTCTACCACATATATGGTCACAGAGTTAATCACATTTCGGTGTCTTTTATTCACACACAGGATCACGTGGAGGATACTTCCTCTTTAGACGTTCACCAAGACATTCTTCTCATTTTTGTCGGTGTACCTACCAATCGTAAGCTTGCAGAGTTACTCGCTGTATGAAGTTGAAATGTCACATTGCACAGCATTCTGGGAACTACAAGATACTAGTGTGATATATTATGGTTTATGAGTCACATCCTCTGTACATTTAAAATTTTCATTTCTACAAAACAAGTATGTGGATGCATTCAATATGAACTTCTCTAAATAGGAAGAAGCTTATTTCTGACTGGAAATTTACCATAGGAATACTAAAAAATCCAACCGAGTTCCTCGAATTATTTCCTGGTAGGGAGCACATTCTCGGTCAGTCTTAAAGTCCAGCAACAAAGTAGCTTTACCTAAAACGCATGAGAGTTTCAGCTTCCATAGGTAGGTCCAATGGGGTCTGTTCGTAATTAATTAGATATTTTCCCGTACGGTTGCTGTATGGCGCAGACGAGTTTTGCAAATTATAGCTTCTTTTTATATCTGGGGAAATGGGGCAATTCGTTCTTCGCGTGTTTACTACTTTTGCATGTAAACATGCGCATCTGGATGTGAACCTAATGTTGCTCAATAATTCGTTGGAACATTCTATCTCATATATCCCTAGCCAGATCAACATGGGTGCACGTCAGCCTTGCGGGGCTTGCACAAAACATGTACCGTCGCATACATAGTCTATTTTCTCTGCTTTTTACCGTTTTCCAAACGGTTGGTTTGCTGTGTGATTATAGTCTATGTTAGTCACCTTGATTTACATCTGCAATGCAAGGGCCTCCGGTCGAGTTCAAGCGTCCAGATACTCCAGTCACGTATGTAGTGGCCGTTGCAAAGATTACACGGGATGCCAAACCTAGAATTTCCTCTGTTACAAACACCACAAAAACCAACAAAAAGTGGATCCCATAATAGCTTCCTGAATGTGTGCACAAACGTCCTCGAATCTACTGCCATCGCATGGCGGGATATGTCGTCTGACAATCGAGACCTGTGGAACTTACTGTGCATTTTGAGGAAAGTAAAAACCAAACGCCCAAACCCAGTACGAGTTACTGGTCACTCGAACTCTGCACACTATAGTGATCCCAGACAAACTAGAGTGATATTATACTCGGCCACTGATGTAGAAAGGAGTTTACTCTCTGCAATCGCAATACACCACGGATCCCGTAAAATACGCATCTAGACTGACGTGGTTTGAAGCATTCGACAACGGAAAAGAGACATCTCGGGAGGAAACAACAAGCAAGATCGTCTAAGCACAGTTTCCACTCATGACGTGCCAGTGCTTCCTTTTCACGATGATGAAGAGATCAGAAGTCACGATTTATTACAGTGCCGGTTCCAGGAACACTTTTCTTGGCTAATGCATTTGCTCGAAGGCTCAAAATGCTACCGTTCTCACCAAGTTATACAGGATGCGAATTAAGAGCCTCAAGACTCACGTTTCAGTTAGAGCCAACAGCAACGCACATGTTAGAACGTTGACGGAAAAATCGGAAAAGTCTTCCATCTGAAATTTGGTTAATAGCTGCTGAAGTCTTGCAAAGACCAGACATAGACTCATCTAAAAAGGCAAAGTTACCGACGCTTACACAAGAGCTTCATTTAACCGCTCTTTCAAGCGATTCTGCAGTAGGTCAGGAAGAGGCAACCTTGGCAAAAGCAAAACGAATAACGGTCAACTTCATAGCGACCGGCATCCTCCCACACCTACTGCTTTAGCACCATGTGAGCTCCTAGAGACAGAAGAACTATCCCACTTGTATACAAATGCCCAAAGCCTTTTAACTAATCTGGCAGAAATCAAAGATGGCCAAATTTTGAAGCCATGCGATATCACTTTCTCTTATGCATGGCCACACCCTAGAATGATGGACGCTGAAGGTTCATTGCCCCACTGCCTGTATATTCGGACAGGAACACAGTGAAGATGCCCAGCCAATCTTAAGAGGGAATAAAAGACAATTAGTTGCAAAGCGCTTCTAAAGGACCAGGTAGTTGGTACTCTGTGCAACAGAGCGAAACCGCCACCGAGTGTCGGCAAGGAACATATCCCAAAAACCACTGTCAGCCGGCCCCACAAGGGTCAGTGTAAATCCTCGGGAAAACCATGTATGTTCGAATATGTTGCTGGCATCAGCTGCTCTCATGTGTTTTTAGTATACAAACGTCCAAGGACTTCTCATCAACTTGGCGGAACTTCGATCTCGTCAAACCTCAATGTGTTGGGACCTCATCACGTTAACGGAGACATGGTTGAATGACGTGATTACTGACGCCGAGAGCGCACTACCTGGTATGTCACTCCTGCGCAACGACTGATCCACAAAGAGAGATGACGTAATTCTTTACTACCATTCCCGCCTTCTCATCGAGCGCATAAACGACCTTAGGATTCAAATCGTAGACGCGCTATGGTACTGCCTACACAAAAGATAGGACGATAGAAGCCTAGTGACCATTGTAAACTGCCCACCAATGTCCACTTTAGAAATCGACCAGGCCCTATCTTCGGCTATGAAGAATCTACTGAAACGATCTTACACTATCTCCTGGTATGGGACTTCACTCTGCACGGCCTAGATACCCCGGTCATTCTGAGGGAATACTTAAGGCGGAACTGCAAGTACTAATCGCTGGTTCTCAGCTGTACAACCACATCACTTCTCCAACGCGTTTCATGACAGGAAACAAAGCGGCCATCTTGAACCTCGTTTTTACCAACGAGGAACTCATAATCGACGTAGTAACGAAGTGCACTCCTTTAGGCTGTAGTGATCATCATCATCATTATACACGTTAGCTAGAGGTGTGAAACACCTCGGATACTGTGCCGCAATACATAAACAAAGGAGAAAAATGCAATTGATGCAAGCCGGCTGAGCTACCGGTAACGGATGGGCATTGTCCCGATAAGCTGCAAGCCGGCT